CCCTACCCCCCCCCAGGCCTCTCAAATTCAACTTGTCTCAAACACAATTCACTATCTTCCACCAAACCTCTTCCTTCTCTTGTATGTAGATATCCCCACCCTCATCCACTCGACAACTGTTGTTGGTTTCAGAAAACAACCTGGAGTCATCCGGGACTTTGCCCTCTGCCTCAGCCTCTACAACCAAGCTACTATCAAGGTCTGTCCGTGATAGCACCTAAATATCTCTCAGATCTCACCCTCCCCACCTGCCATTGCTCTAACCCAGGCTATCATCACCCTACTGGGAAGACTGCAACACTCACTTGCCTGTCTGCTTTCTTCCACTTTTGTACCCCTTCCATCCATTTTCCCCATGCATCTAAGAGGAGCTTCCAGATACCCACATCTGAGCACATCATTACAGTTATAATAAACCCATCAAGGGTTTCCTTTTGCCCTCAGGAGTAAAGTTTCTTCACCAGCCTTATCACTGACACCTCCCAGTACTGGCCCAGTTCCCTAGTGCCTCACATCTCAATGCCTTTGTTCCCACTGAACCTCTTACCTGAACTGCCCTCCATGTTACTCTCTAGCTCTACAACCCTTGCTTGACACCTCTCTAGAGTCCTTCCTTGGGGCCAGACCCTGCACTGGGCACTGATGATGCCAGGGTTTCTTCTGTCCAGAGTCTCAGAACTGCAACTGCCTTCTGACTCGGACTACAAAATGGCAGCTACTCACAAGAACTGAAAATACAGGATAAACTGAGGAAGCCAGTGTTTGTATGTATGTGGGTGAGAGATTGACTTACTCCCTTTCTCTTAGATTCCATGCCTCCCTTCAGGCTTGGGAGTGAGTTGAGGGAAGCTCACTTGGGGTCCTGGGGAAAGGACCTTAGAGGAAGAGGCTGAGGCATTCTTCTGGTTCCAGTGATGCTGACTCACTACAGGACCATAGCTAAATCACTGCTTCTCTGAGCCTCTACCACCCCAACTAGAAAATAGGCTTGACCAGTGGTTCCCACTCTAGGCTGTGCATCAGAAACACCTAAGGAGCCTTTGAAAATAGATTCCTGGGTTCCAACCCCAAGATTCTAGAGCCCAGAGTGAGAGCTGGAGTCTCACTCTGTCACCCAGACTGGAGTGCAGTGGCCGCTCCCGGCCACCGCAGCCTTGACCTGCTGGGCTCCGGCGATCCTTCCGCCTCAGCCTTCCAAGTAGCCAGAATTACAGGCATGCGCTACCACGCCCGGCTGATTTTTTGATTTGTTGTAGAGATGAGGTCTTGCTGCCCAGGCGGGTCTCGAACCCACGGGCTCAGGCAATCCACTCACCTCAGCCTCCCAAAGGCACGGGATTACAGGTTGAGCCACCGAGCCCGACTGGGAATCTCATATTTTTTAAAGGTCAACAAGGGATTTTGATGCTCACTTGGTTTGGGAAACTCAGAACCAGTGTCTAGTGACTTTTCCATCTCTAATTTTAACTCTTTAAGTCTCTGAAGATGTCCCTGCCTTCTAATCAGGACCCAGCCTCTCCCATTGCTCCCCCTTAGCTGGTTCAGTTTTCCTCCATTACCCATGAAATGGCTCTAACATCAGGTGTAACACCTTTGACTGAGCTAGGGTCAGGCAGCAAGATTCTCCTAACCCCAAGCATCTGGAAGGACACTCTAGACCTCAACCCCGAGGAATAGAGTAGGTTTCTCCCCAGATCCCTACAAACAAACCTATACTTGGGAACCCCTTTCTGACTCTCTAAAACCCCTCTCTGGCATTTCACTGGGTTATCCCAGTGACCTAATGAGGCCATAGGTTTAATCAACCTGGAAAATGGGCATAATAACAACTCCCTTTCCCCACCAAGAATCAGACAGGATAACTCAAAGAGAAAGCACTTTGAAACAATTCAGTGCTCTTCCCATGGATAAGATATAATTATTATTTTTAAAGGTCTTCCCCCACCCCCAGGATGGGCCACCGGGTCCTAAGGATGGTGATTCAATAAAGGTCTCAGTAGTCTGAGGGAGGAAGTCAGCAGGCACACAGAAATCTTAACATGTAGACTAAAATGTTTCAACCCTTTAATTGAACCTCAGGAAATCCTCTCTCTCTCTTATACACACCCTACAACCACTAACCCTGCCCTCTTAGGGCCAATTATAGGCAACTCCTGTGGAGAGAGAAGCAAGTCACTTGTGCCTACCCCTGGGCCGGCTAGGCAGTGGGCGAGGCCGGCCTCTCACAACCCATGCTGCTGTGAATCACATGGCCCAGTGCCTGCCTTGTCAGGGCCTGAGTGAGTAATTCCTTTGCCTCCTCTTCAGAAGGGTTTTCTCTCTTACTTTTTAACTTAACTTTTATTTTTTTAAAAAACTTTTGGTTGCTAAGGATTATACCATGCTACAGGCTTTATCACCAGTATCTCATAGCCTCCTTATGGTATTCTCTAGATGAGGAAACTGACTGAGGCTCAGAGAAGGGAAGTCACTCACCCAGGGTCACAAAGTGCATTAGTTAGACATGGTTGGATAGGAGGTCAGGTTCTTCCCTGAAATCCTTTTTACTCCCAGTCCTCATCTTGGATTTTTTTTTTTAAAAGACATCCACCATGCAATTACAGAGGCAAGGACTTCACTTGAGAAAAGGATCTGGGAACTCTGAGTAGCTTTTATGGGGGGAGGAGGGGAGTGGCTTAGGAAGGGTATCATAATTTGTAATTTGAAAGGATTGGTAGATTGGGAAGGCATACTCAGAATCACTACCATGTATTGATTAGAGAAGCCAGAGACCTGATTAACACTGCCCAGGTACTAACTGCCAGACCAAGAGTATCTGGAGGGCAGGAATTCAGGGTCCTTCTCTTAGACAACAGTTACTGATATGTTTCTTTAGCATGTGTTCAGGTATTTATTCAATGAGATTTATTAAGCACCTACTGTGCGCTAGGCACTACATTAGCTACGGTGGATACAACAGTGAGCAAAACAGATATAAGCCCCTTGCCCTCCTGGAGCTCACAGGCAATAAGCTAGTAGACACAATAAGATAACTTCAGACTGTACTAAGTGCAATGATGAAAGCACACTGGCAGCTGCGATGGAGACTCACAAGTGGCCCTACCTAAAGTGGTCAGGGAAGGAGGTCTCTTGGAGGAGTTGACATTTGAGCTGAGACCTGAAAGATGAGGAGCAAGCCATAGAAGGCTGGGGGGAAGCTCCTGGGCAGAAGAAAAAGCCAAGGCAAAAGCCCTGAGGTGGGAGTGTTTGTGGTATGTTTTGGCACTTTAAAGAAGGCCTGCACTAAGTAGTAGTGAGTAGACCGCTTTACAGTCTGTCAAGGGGGATATGGAAAGCCAGTAGAAGTAACATGCATGGTAGGACATTAAGGGCCTATTGTCAGTTAGTTATCTCCAGCCCATACTGACGGAGCCCCCTGAAATCTCCCAGAGGTTCCATGATTAGCTGAAGGTCATGGAAAGCAGCAAGGGGCACATCCTGCCCATGCTTTATGCTTAACTACTGCTACCTGGTGTTTAGCCACAGTCCCCAAAACCAGTGGAGCCTGGTATGTGATCCCTGGGAGCTCTCAGAGGCTCAAGAATTCCTTCACTTCCAGTGGAAGGCAGGGAAGATGTGCGCTGCTCTTCTTCCAGGTCTCCTGGGCTCAGGCCCACATGAGAATGTCCCCAGATGGGGAAGGTCCTGCTGAGCTCCTCAGACACTCAGGTGTGTGCAGCACAAAGGCCTTTCCAGGCAGTGGTCTGTGGCCCCAGCCTAACCTAGAGCTGCTCCGCCTCTTTAAACCCAAGAAACCATCCTAGTTTCTCCTAACAAACAACCTCGTGGCCCCCGCAGCTCCCCAACTCTGCTACAACTGGCTTCTGGCCCTGCTGACCTTTCTGCTGTCTCCCTACCTAGCAGGCCTTCTAGTCCTCTCCTCCAGACTGACTCTCAAGGCCCATCTCTTCCACCCTTCTCTCTCATAAGCACCTTCTAATCCCCCCTTCCCTTGTCCTCCCGCCACACACACTGGGCAAAACCCCAACCTTGGATCAACCCACCATCCTTTTTTTTTTCCACTCACACTCCAAGGCTGCTGAATAGTACAGGAGAAAATCGCATAAGCAGAAGGCTTGGCATTACTTCTATGGTCTCCAGCCTCAATTTGGGGAAGCAGAAAGACCACAGACTTTGGACACAAATAGATTTGGTTGAATCCTGAATCCTGGCTTTGAATCTTGGCTACATACTAGCTGTGTGACCTTGGGCAAGTTACTTAACTTCTCGGAACCTCAGTTTCCTTCTCTATAAAATGGGGCAAATGGTATTTACTTCACAGAGGGCTCCTGAAGCTGAAATAAGAACGAACCCATGTATAGCACCTAGTCCAGTGCCTGGCACAATGCAGGCACTTGGCAAATGGAAGACTCTTCTTTCCTCCCATTCCCTCAACTAAATCCTAGTCCCCCCAACCGAATCCCCATGGCTGCCTTGCAATCCTGCCCCTTTTTCTTGGAGTGCTCCCTCTTCCATTAGCCTCAGTAGACAGAAGAGTAGGGGGTCAGAGACGTTGAGGGGCACAAGGGACAGAGAAAGGCAATGAGGACAGAGGTTGAAAGGACTGGACGGAAGGCCGAGGGACAAGGGGTGGGCGTGGGGGTTGAGGGGACTGGAGAACAAGAACCCGCGCCCAGTACCAGGCCCGTGGCCCTAGCTCCCATGCTCTCTCGATCACTCACCAGGCCGAGGCTGTGAGCCCTCCAGGTGGTAGGAGAAGCGTAGGGCCCGGTGGTGCTGTGGACTGGGGCCGCAGGGCAAGACCCGGGGGCCTGGCGCACCGCCCAGGTTGGCGTCCGAGGGTCCGACAAACTGGGGATCCAGAGGAACGCCAAGAGCCGAGCCTGAGCCCCTGCGCACCGGCAGTCCGGATTCCGAGGCTCCAGGGTCCGAGTCGGCACAGGCCGGCGGAGAGGCGCTGGGGGGG